GTATGATCTTTGTACTAATTAAGCCTTATCAGTCATGAATCAATATGATTCTCATGCACTTGCTGTTGTTACATAGTCTTATTTTATCATGTAATCAAGGAGGAGAGAGATGGGAAGGGGGTTGGTTTCATTTCAGACCAGAACTGAAATGCTCTGATCTGTTTATACTCAAGTAAAGCTAAATCCCTTTCTGCTTTCCATAAAACAAACTTGAAGTAGTCTTTGAAAAGCAAAACAGAAATCCCAGATCGAAAAGTCAACTGACATTGCATTACAAACACTCTAGAACAATCAAACGAGTTGAAGGGAATATTCTTTTAGATTTTGTGCAAAGGCAGAAGAATTAATTATGTTGATGACAGTCTGGCTATCATCCGCTTCAATAAATGTTGGGGACATGTGAAAAAATAGTGTTAGAACAATAAGAACATATGGGTCAGGACTCAAAAAGAAACTTTTTCTCAACTTTAATTTCATAGAAATTCTCTGCTGGACTGTCTGTGTAAAGTTGTACATCAAAATCTAAGGTTGATAGAAACCATACCTATTGCACATGTATTATGCCCATGTTTATACTGTTCCACTATTCAAAATTGGTAACGAAAATACAGAATCAAGTTAATGGCAATTCTAGTTCTCCAAGGAATTTGAGCTAAAAACTAATCTGATAAGAATATGAATTGCACCATCTTCCTCAAATAAACTGAAAAATGACAGCCAAACCTCTTTTAACCATTGAAAATATATTGTACCTTGAAAACAGATTCGTTTTTCATCAAAAAGGAAAAAAAAAGTTTAGATTGTAACTTAAAATCCCAAATTAACCCTGTTGAATTTAGTTTCCTAATGTTCGACATGCTTTCAAGCCTCTCTATGAACAAAATACAGCTTGCCCATGCAATGAAGAATGGCAACAAAAGCTATGAAACCAATACTCATGACAAGCACAACATTTGGAGAGATCTTGAGGCCTGGAACACCTTCTGTTTACAAATTCTTTTTGGTTGGGTGTAAGTGCTACTCAGACCAAGCTACTCAGTTTACAAATTCTCCACTACCCATTTTTATACAACCCTAAAGAAAAATATTAGAATCAACTTTATCCAGAATACGTTTTCTAGTTCCTTTTTATAAAGTTGAAGCTTTAAATGGTAAATAAATAAAGAAAAATAATCAAATTAAAGAAGATTGGAAACTTCTCCTTATGTTTCAAAACAATGCCAATAACAGCAGCTCTATGGTTGAGACTGTTAGGAGACATACTTCCTATCCTAGTCATATATTGAGGCTATCCTTAGGAAGCATCAAAAACTCTCTCTGAAAACATATTGCTATGGACTGGTCACATGAAATAAAAAGAAAAAAAAAACCAGTTAAAATGGCTGACTTTTACGAAGTACCTAAGGCAGGTAAAATGCTTGGGGGAATGCAAATGCTATGGTAAAGGGAAAACAATCAGGACCAAAACCAAAAGCAAGGCTTGTACCAGGTAACGAAATGTCAATATTTACTTTTAAGGTAAAAATCTGGTTCTACCATCAATAACGATGCTCTAATGCCTAAAAAAGAAGGGAAAGTGAGAGAAGTCGGAGTTTAACTCAACCCAAACTCTCTAACAATTAAGTTAGTAAAGACTGAGAATAGAGAAAGAAGGTAGAAAAAGTGAGTCTAGTAGTAATGGACTTTCGCATTAAAAAGAGTTGATTGATAATGCGGTTTCCAAATGATGTTGCTTGTATAAGATTTACTTGAGATAGGTTGAGGGGTTAGAAATTGGTTTTATTTTTACAACTTATGGCTAGTTGAGGTAGTATGTTGAAATATTATTAAGGTTTGAGAAGTTATGGTTGTTAAGAATTCCAAAAAAGATATTAGAGCTCAGGATACCTTGGTTTCCATTCCAAAAAACAAGAATTTTCTGCCAATATCCTACAGTGAGCTTGAAAAGATGGCACTCTCACAAGATTTCTTGATAAAAAATGACAAAATCTCACATGACAAGTAGAATGATCCTCTTCAAGTATATACAAGTAAGACACAACTTTGAAATTGGTGGGAAGTTAATCTATTCTAAAGATCATAAAAATATATGAAATACAAATATTCTCTCTAAATGGTTGCCACCCACAGACAAGAATAATAAATTACAAACTATCTTTATCTTCTAGCTACAACTCAAAGCAACCAATAAAAAACTACATAGACTAGAATAAACATAGGTTAGCACCAAATTTTGCCAAGCATCAACCAAATTTCCAACCTTAAGAATCTTTCACCATAATACCTCAACCGGCAATGAATTGTTCAAAAAACCAACTTTTAATCTCTAATGTTTCTCAAGTAAACCTTATACAAGCAGCAGAATTAATAAGATAACCGCATTCATAAACAACTTCTTTAGCAACACTGCCAAGTTTATTAGACCTTTGCTCCTTTTGCTCGACCTATACTAGGTTAGGGTTGGGAATGGGAGGCTAGTATTGTGGGAAAAAAATTATAACAACGGCATTATGATAAGTTTTCTATCACTATATCTAGGGTAAGTTTATCTACCTAAAGAAGAACTTCCTTTTCACTACTACCAGACTCTCTCCTACTGCCTCATCGTACTCTCAAGTTTCACCCTTTACTGACATTAATCATCAAAGTTAGGCCAGAGTTTCTCTCACTATACCTTCTCTTTCATGTCAGTAATTAAGCACCATGTTTGATGCTAGAGCCAGGCTTTTAGCTCAACATTTTCAAGCTAAATATGATAGCCCATTTGCCTTTGTTCAAAGAATTAGAACGTGTTAGTTTCCTTTGGAGGCAGCAAAATTTCCAATTTAAAAACAATTACACAGCATACTAATTAAGTAAAATTAGCAACCACCCAGTTCCCAATTCCTTTAAAACAAGCAACAAATTCAGAACCAACGAACAACAGATGTTTCAAATCTCCAACATACCCAACGAAGCAAATTATTCAAAATATTAAAGACAAAGAGCTGATCACCCCACCAAGAAACAAAATTAAAATTATTCTCTTTGCAACAGAGAAACATAAAAGATAAAAACTTTAAAAGGAACACAGCAAAGAAGTCAATGGACAAGGCAAGATCAGATTCAGGTAGTGTTAGATTTGGTAGAAAAAGAATATAACTTTCAACAAAACAAGAAAAACCCAGATAGAAAAAATGGTTTTGAAGAGTCTCAGTAGAGATCATGATAAGCAAGGATTGTAGAGTTGATATGCAAAAAAAGCAGACAGAAAAAAAAAAAAAAAGAACTGAATAACATCAAATAAAAAAAGTAAATCAGTAAGCGAGTAAAAGGGTATCTTCGATATTCAACGGCGGATTTGTTGCTTTGGAGGGTTGAATCTGTGAGAAAGAAAAAGACTGGAGCTTTGTAAACGGGAGTTACGGTTGGTAAAAAAATATATGTGATGGCATTTCTGTAATTTCAGTTTAACCCTTATAGTAAATAGAAAATACAAATATAATTTTGTATAGAAAATTTTTCTAATTTTTTTGAAATATATGATTTCTTGATTTCCTATCAATTCATGTGAAAATGCTTCATATAATAATTCAATCAAGTTTGAAATTTCATACTACTTATTTTGGTTTTGATTTTGTATGTTCTTTAAAAAAATTTAATATTAATTGTATTTATTTGAAGATATTAATTGTGATATTAATTTATGTAATATAAAAATAATATAAAATTTTAATGTAAATTATATATAAAATTTTAAAAATAAAAAATATAATTTATAATTAATACTTATATTTGAATTATAATTTAATAAATTTTTTGTTTTATTTATATTGAACCTAAAATAAATATGAAAATGGGTAGGTAAATATTGTTTTCTTGGTTCCTAAATAGGCATTTTAATTTCTTAATGAATAAAAGGCTCCCATTTTGAATTGTAAAGCAGGAGTTGTTGGCTGCCTAACAGTTGATATACTCCACTGTATTATCAATGTTAATCAGTGATAAAATTTTCATGTTGAGAGGGCTGGGCCTGGCCCAAACCATAGAACGATTGACGAGGGCCAGGATAGGGGTTGACTAAAGGAATCTCCGTGGAACCATCGTATTTCACTCACCAAATTTTCCCTTCTTTTACGTCAAAAGGCAAGCGCAACGTGCCCGACAAGATTGTTGAAATTGACAAGTAATGGTAATATTCCTTTCATGTTCCATCCCAATGTGGACTCAATATTTACAACTACCAATAACATATTTGCTTGCAATCACCACGAAATTGAATTGACTCTTCCAGCCAAAAAAAATTCATAAAAAGTACATAAGTATATTAATAAACTTATTTATTAAACTTAACAAAATTATAAATAATATTTTAAAATTCAATAATAAAACAAATATATTAAAAATATGAGAAAATATTCATATTTAATTTGTTTATTTTCTTAAAGATATTCCCACGAAGTAGAAATGTAAAATCAAATAATATCTGTCTATCTTATTAAAGTTTATGCTTAATATATTATTTACATATATTTTTTATACATTATGAATAAATTAGATAATAATAATTTATTTATAAGATTAATAAATGATAATATTTTATTAATAAATAAAAATTTTAAAAATATTAATAATATATTAAATATAAATTATTATTTATATTATTATTATTATTATTATTTATTTTGTTAATTACCACTTATCTTATTTGACCAGCCGCCTATTGTTCCCTTCCGAGAAACTTCGTTCTCCAAAAAGAATAAAACAAAACGTCGTTCGACAAAGTCCACTGAAGCAAGACAACGGCAGGTTCCATGCAAGGACGAGGCATATCCAGGTAACTAAAGACAAGAAGAGGTAGGCCATGCTGACCACGTTTTCTGGCTACCCCCAATAAGCAGGAGAAGAGAAATTTCTTCTTTGACAAAACAAGAAATGACGCATTCTTTTCTTAATTTCTTCCGTCTTCTATAAATATATATATATATATATATTTTTTCTCATTTTTCTTCCTAGGTGGTCTTGGCTGCACCACCCAGGCAACTTCCCTCTCAACCGCCTTTGAAAACTGACCTGGTTTTGGTGCCTTAAAATACCCCAAACCCAAACCTCACCATTCCATCAATCGATGTAGACTATTCTTTCTTGTTCCTATTGAATATCATTCTCTTAACCCGGCTAACAAGTTTTAGTTTTGCAGTTTTAGCTTTTGACTGCTTATATTGCTATACTTTAATGGATACATCATCAGGAAACTCAAACTACATCCAGTTTCTCTTGGTTGATATGATCATGTTGTCTCATAGTTTGACATTTTATAATAGCATCAAAAGTTTTTTCTCAAGATATTGGTCTTTCCCACAATCCCAGCATGAACATGGCAGCTCAAAGACATCAGGTTGGGTGAATAACCAGAATGTTGATCATTCAAGCAAGGAAGTTTCATCTACTCAGAAGAAAGAAGATGGTGGGAGAGTGTACAGAAAAGATGTGGAGGAGCTGATGGGAAAGCTGGGACTTTTTTGCAGCCAAGAAAGTAAAAAGCTCAATGAATCATTTGGTTCTGATGAGCTTTCCAGGCTGTTTGAGGAAGAACCAAGCTTGGAAGAGGTGAAACAAGCTTTTGAAGTTTTTGATGAGAATAAAGATGGGTTTATTGATGCAGAGGAGTTGCAGAGAGTTCTCCGTATTTTAGGATTGAAGGAAGGTCTCGAAAACTGCAACAAAATGATCAAAACCTTTGATGAAGATGGAGATGGCAGAATAGATTTTCAGGAATTTGTAAAATTTATGGAGAACAGTTTTTGCTGAATCAGCCCTTTGTCTTCTTTTTTTTAAATTTTATAATATAAAGTCTCATAATATTCAAAATATATCTATTATTTTGAGTTTTGACCTCTATTTCTTGTTGTGGTTTTGATATATTTGATTTTTCTTTTAATTTTTTTGTTGTAATTGTGATTATGTCTATTATTATCAGAAATTAGCATTACCAGCATCAGTTTCTATTATAACAGGGGAAGAATAAGATAATCTAATTGAAGAAAAAGCATGGTTCCATGGTTCAATATGATCGAAAGTATAAGCTTGAATGTGATCATCAACCCCTTCCTAAAACTGAGATCTAAACTGCAAATCCAACCAAAACAATAACAGTTATGAGAATTAATCTTGAAGACAATCAAAAAGGAAAATCAAATTGGGAAACAAATATTAAAACTCACATCTATTTCAATCTTCTTCAAAGAGGAACAAATTTCTCAAGAATGCAAGAACTACAATGAGGTCACACTCTTTCTCATATGGACCAAACCAAAAAAAAAACCTTAAGATATTGGGAAATCTTTGCATCCATAACTGTTCACCTTGTGTTCTCTAGCAACAAACTTCCATTCCAAAGGGAAAAGCATGAGACTTCAATTATACAAATTGTAGGAAATATCTGCCTATAATGGGAGGATAAATTCCTATATTAAATAACCAACGTAATCTGCCAACAAGAGAGTTATTCTTTTTACTTGGTTTGAACAAAGATATTGCCATGGGAGTTAATGTTTATTATTATTATTATTGTTTTTTTTAACCATGAATATAAATTGCCATGCTTCCCCATTTCTTTTAAGATGGCAACCGGCCATAGCAAAAGGAGAGGAAGAAAAAAAAAATGGCATTATGCCATTTTCTATTTGTGGATAAAAAATTGAAAATTTCTCTTCTTATCTCAATATTTAGCTTGGAATTCAGTCATACTGAAAATGATAAATATGTTCATCCAAATCAATAATGAAATAAGTCTCATTCATTTTCATATGTGGGATTGTGTGATGAGTCACGTAAAAAACAAGCGAGGAAAGGAGAGAGATTGGTAAAGCAAAGGAATAAGATGTTCTTTGCAAACTCATTGAGAAATGTTATGCTTTGATATTTAAGGATTTATACTGTAGATAGTAGACGGATTTTAAATGCGTGATCTTATCTTGAACCAATAAATCAAGTCACCGTTGCTTCTGCAACATTTCTGCAACAATGCTTTCGTTGTTTTTTTGTAAATCAAGTAAGTTTTTTGCATTATTTTTTATATATGATCTTGTTCATATATTATTTTATTATCCATCACCAATCAAATTCAATAAAAACAAAATGAAGAATACAAAGAAATAAATACCTAAAGAAACCAAGAATTAAAACTTGGTTGATTTGGATAAAAAAAGAAAACCCCTTACAGAAATTTGCTCCAATGATAGCATAATGTTCTTCGGGCGATGCCAGGAGTAAAATAGCAGGTACTGACAGGACCTGAATCTGTGTTGAAATGGCAACCTGAATGCAGTCTACAACACAAAACTCAATCCTGAAGTGATGGAGTTTCAAGGCTTGGTAATGGTTTAAAGTGTTGCTTATGAAAGTACATTCAGATCGTTGATCACTTCGTAAGCTACTGTAATGGGAATGTCAATTTCAGGGCTGAACTTCATCTTTTGGACAAAATGCTGGTTTGAATAGAAAGTTTGGCTGGCAAGAAGGAGAGAACGTGATGGAGAATTGCATCTGGTAATCTGGTAATCCACTAATCCAATCTTGTTCTTCAGACATGGTGGTGGTCAAGACCAAAAAGAGCATTGACTTTTGGAGTTTGCTGGTATGTACTTCAATGGAACTTTCACTCTTACAAATTTCATTGCTCTCTTAAAAATCATTTGTTAAAACTGTTTTCATATCCATTTTTTAAAAAAGTTTTGTGTGATTTTAGGCCCACTACCTAACTGAACGGGATTATAAACAATAGATAAGAGGCTTGGGCAAACACTAGATGATTGTCGGCAAACTATTTTTCCAATGATCCATGGCAAAGCTGGGCCTATAAGGCTTATACTTGACCAGACTAACTAAACGCACTTCTAACTCAACTTTCAGGCCTTCTTATGGTTCCCAAGACCCAAACAAACCATTCATGTTTGCTATTTGATGGGATGTCAAATTTGCAATTTCAATATCGAATTTTTGTTATCATACTTTAATTTCATTGAATTTCGTAATTTTTTTTGGAAAAAATACAAGAATTGATGAAATTCTATCACTTGCGTTACCAGAATATTTTGTGAAATATTTTAATTGTGTTATTTTTCCAAAAAATAATAAATAAACTTATAATGATACAATTCAATAAAATTGAAGTAAATGATAAAAGGTTTAACCATATAGCAAATTTAGCCGTAACTCCCTATTTGATAATGATTTATATGCTAGTTATGATAAGGACTTAATCAAATTGAGTCGAAAAGCTCAAACTTGATTGAATCTTATTTTTTTAATTTATACTTAATCTAAAATAAAAATTAAATTATTTGAATTTAATCAATTGAATTTATAATTTAATTAAAAACAAAGTCAATTATTAATTAATTTAAAGTTTAATTATTTAAATTCAGAACTCGAATTCACTCAAAATAAAAAAAAAAGTTATTTCGAGAATAAATATTTTATATGAAATTTAAATATAATAAATAATGATATTTTCAAGCAACCAGAGATGGAATCCATTTGTCAACCTTAAATGAAGAGCCATAATGAAAGGGGTCCATTAGCAAAGTTTTCCATAACTTTGATTACTGATAAGATATCATATCAATCACCCACTTTAGCCAACCTGTCTCACACCCATTTCAAAAAAACGCCACTGTCTTTGCTCCCTCAATATCTATAGAGAGGTCCTACTCTTTTCTTTTTTCCAGTTATTATCACACTTCACTCAGAAATTAGTCATTGATGGATATCAAAGCTGGAAAGAAGGCGGAAAATGCGCTTGCTTTCTACTAATTTTTTTTTTTATAAAAAATATTCAATCAAAAAATATGGAAATTGCTTAATTTTTGTGTGGTTGTTGATGACATTGTCTAAATGTTACATGTATCATTTTTTTATCACTACCTGTCTGGGTTTGAATCTCTGTATTATTGTATAAGTTATTAAATAACAAATGCAAAAATTTTTTTATTAATACATTTTCCCATATATTCTACTTAATCAATTAGATAAGATCTAAAAATTCTTGAAGGATAAAGAAATGATCTGATTACAAAATCATTGGTGGATAATGGACTAACGACCTTGATTTGAAAGAAGGCAATTAATGAAATTTAGTACACTTTTTGTCACAACAATCACATATTACGGTAAATGTCATAAATCTTACATCGAAAGGGGATGCAAATGGTTGTGAGTTTATAGGCTCTGAGTCTTTTCATTTTAATTGAATTGTCTTTTCGGTTGGAATCGTGGGTCGATAACACAGTTAGGTTTGCTTTTTTTTCGTAGAGAGAAATATATGCCCAAAAAAAAACGATTTTAATTTAGCGGAAAGATATCAAATTCCCATATTTTTAGAGAATTGTTGCATTGTGAAAGGAAAAATATGAGAATGAGGGAATGGAATATCTGGCCATTGTTAAAACTCGTTTGGTAGCGCATGCAAATGGGAAAAAGGTTCTTTTTTGGTGCCATTTTGACATTGAATCCATATTAGCTCTGAATGGCTTTACACGTTTTTGCTCCACAATGGGCTTTTTTTTTTTTTTTTTTCTAGTCTAAATTGCCTAATTATGAGGCATGCAGCAAGGAATCAAGTTGGCACCTGAATCTAATAGTCTTCAATTTGATAAGCAAGAGAAAGATTAACATGAACACAAATAATGATGTAGAAAGGCAACTTCCCCGGCGATTTTCTTGCTAATTTCATCACATTTTACATGCAAATGTTGTGCCTCATCGCCATCTTCGTGGATTGCTTTCAGTAATAGAATGTAACCATCTTTTTTATTTTATAGTAACCTTTCACATGCACTTCACAATTAAATTTGTAAATCCTACCAACAATCTGTTAATTGAGTGTTTAAGGACGTATTGTAAGGTTTGAGTTTGAGTTTAAGCAACTTCAATCCCTACTTTCAATAAAAAAAATATTAAATTTTATTTTTTTTCCATGTTCAAAAAAGTTAGAAGGAAAAAAAAAATTCAAACCATACTTAAGTTGCTATTAAATTTTTAATAAAAAATTTTGAGCAAAAGAAGATTATAAAACATGAACTTGATTAACTATAAGAGTTTACGAAACATCTTTCTTACAAGAGCATATGCCTTTCTATTTCAACACCTTCCTTCACTTCGAAGTGTATAATGTGTCGGTGCTTTCTTTTTCAGTTTCCATCAAAATCAACCACAAATATAAAATTTTCAATTGAATGTTATCAAGGAGCTTTGAAAAAGAAAACTCAAGACTTAGTTTAATTAATTCGTACAATAATTTTAAGAAATAATATATAATAATTTTAAATTTTAAATTTAATATTGATATATCTTTTTATTTTTAAATTATGATTTTTTTTTTTTTATAACAAAAAACCTTTTTGAAAATGCAAAACGAAGTCATGTTTTCTTGTCCAACTGTCTAGTACATGAAATCATTTTAAAGCATGTAATTATAAGGGTGATTAACATATGTTGATTTTCCTTCATAAAGGGAGCATCTATCAGTTTTGGTGTACCTTGAATGTCTTCATATCACTTCTAACAAAAGAAAAATCTATGCCCTTTTCAAGTCGTAAAGCCAAATTATTATATAGGGTATATATATTCCAAAATTAAAAAATTTAGATATGAATCTCCATTAATCAAATCAAAAGAAAAAAAATGTGTGTTCTTAGTTAAAGGTATATGAGGTCATGGAAAAAGGAAAGGGACAATGGATTAAGCATTCAAGCTGGATATGTTGGAGGGGGAAAAGGAGCAGCAAAATGCAACAAGCATAGGAAGGAAAGACCATTTCCATCAAATAATAACTCAAAAAGTGTACTTTTTGTCTTTTGTGCAGCACATGCCAGAACCCAAAATAATAGTGATGATGATGATACATACATAACTGATTAACAAAAGTTAAGATCTCTCCATCATCACAAATTGCTGAATCTTCTTATAACATTTCAATAATTGATCAAAAGTAGACAATAACAAAACATTCTTCAGCTAAAAAGAGGATTTTCAGTGGCTTTTCACAAGCAAGAAAAGTGCCTTTTGGCTTGAAAAAAAACGAAACCTTCTACTTCATAATTTGATAGTAAGATTCCCTTTTAGACAGAATCTCACTCATGAATATGCCTCTAAATACGGTCTCTCTCTCTCTCTCTCTCTCCCTTCCCACAGCAGTTACTTCCAGGCTTCAATTCAAAGCCAACAGAACTGCAAAAACTCATAATTATAACTACACAGGAAAGGGCCATTGAAAAATCAATGTTGACCCAAGATTCACCCCTCGTGCTAATATTTTCTAGTACTATAAATTCTTTTTTTTTTTTCAACTCACATCAGACATTTTTTTACTGTAATATCATATTTGTTAAAGGGTAGTTAAAACCTAAACTGGCCTCCAGTGTAAGTCTGTCCAAAGGACCAACCGGCTGGAGCAACATTGTAAGAGATGACACTGCGGCCATCACTGGTTGTGACAAGAAAAGAGAGTTTTTGTCCATTAAGGTAAGAATTGCTTTGCCAGTTCTGGCCCCAGTTTCTTGACATTGGCTGCCATCTGGTCCTCGAACCTTTAATGGCTACAGAATGAACGTCCCCAGCACCTCCAACATTGGTGATAAGTACTAAATTGAAGTAGGAATGTCCATTAATTGTGAACCTGATACCTCCATTTCTCCTGCACCTCACCCTGGGAAAACAAAATTTTTTTTGTAATATGAAAGAAAATGTTGAAACATGTTGGTGAAATTAGCCAGTTATGTTTACCTTCTGTAAATTACAGGAACAATACCAGCTCTGTATTGGGCAATGTGTTGAAAAATTGGCTGAGAGAGATCAAAGTGATGATTAGGAGGGTCACACCAGCCTCCTGGAGGACAGAAGTTTGTGGCTGTGACCACAATGGAACCAGGCAGGCACCATTGTGGGTCATTGACACACCTGAGCGCATAGCATGCACCACAGCTCAAGCCATTGTCAAACAATGCAGTGCTCAATGCTGCTGTGTTAACACCATAACCTTGGCTGTATAGGTTTCCATAGCCACAAGCTCCACCTGGAGCAAAACCCAAAATTAAAATTGCATTAAGTAGATACCAAGAACAACATGTCAGACCCAACAAACATACAACAATAAGAAAAAAATGTGATATTTGGATTGTGGAATGTACCCATTGTTCCAGAAGCATCACCACCTCCATAGAAAGTGGCATGAGCATTGATCCAGGGTCCAAGGTATCGATGATGGGCATGATTATTACTTGGAAAACCATGAACAAAGTTGAGAACTGAGAGTAATACAACTACAAGAAACCCCAAATGCCCCATTGCCCTGCATATGAAAAAAATACTCCATAAACAAAAAAATTGTACTAAATTCTAAAACTAATAAAGAAAACAAGCATATTTAAGGACTGCAAAGGCCTTTTTTTTTTTTTTTTTTTTTCATTATGCTGTTATATAGTAAAAAAAGGAAAACTGGAAGAGGAAAGCAAAAGAAGATTAGGACTAGTAAATGAACCTTGAAAGGAGTTGTTTGTGGAAATGAAGTGGAGGAGTTTGAAGGGAATAAATAGAGGGCAGTCAACATCACAACTGACAACCTGACAACCACTGAGCTGTTGGAACCAAGCAACTGCAATAGTGGTTTTTAGGGACTCTTGATTTTGTGGAATCAAATGCAGTATTCATTCATCGCTTTATGCTTAGATTAAGTATCCGTATGAATTCAATTGCATATTTGGTGCGATGCGATTGGATTTATTATATTATAAGTTGAATTTAAATATTAATTTTAATAAAATTTATTTAACATAAATTTTTTAATAAAATTATTTTTTTAATTGTAATTATAATAATTTTTTTAATGAACGACAAAATTAATTATAATGAAATTAAAAATAATAATAAAAAGTATTATAATTACAATTAAAATATATTAAAAAATTTATATTGAATAAATTTAATTAAAATTAATATTTAAATTCAATTAATAAAACGATGAATCAATTGTACCACACTAAAAATGCGGTTAAATCCAAAGGAACACTAAAAAAAAAGCGGTTTTCAAGGCTCAAACCGCGTGGTTTTGAGGGGCTATCCATTGGGGGGCAAACAAGCCATAGATTTTTTAAGTGGGGTTTAAATGAATTTGGCTCAGTTTGAAATCCTTAAGATCACAAGCATAATATGTTAACAATATTGGATGCATGAGGAAGACAAAAACATAATTGGCTTCATCTAAGAGTGAAAAACTTTGCTACTGTGAAGATTTTTTTTTGGGCCGTTAACTGTGCATTGTGAACTTTTTTGACTTGGGGAAGCAGAGATTCAAATCTCGCTCAAAGTGCAACTAAAGGAACTTCTTGAGTTCTTGGGGAATTTTGTAAAAGGGAGATGTGATTATCAATTAAATTATACCATCATGAACTTTTGAAGTTAAAACATGTCTTTCTATGACCATGACGACTTGGTTTAGAGATAGAGATGTCTTAAAATGTTAAGGTGTTTGGTTTAAATTTTGCTCTGAGTGAATTTGATTTAATTTTATGTTGTATTAATTTAATTGTATTTTAATTTTTAATTGATTATTTATTTAATTATTCAATAATTCATGCATCATTCGTGATTATGATTATAATTTATAAATTGGGCCAGCTTTAAATATCTAGGAATCAAATGTTATAATAGCAAAGCACGTAAAGGGGAAGAATGGTAAAAGCAGAAAAATCAGAAGAAACCATAGAAACAAACAAAGAAGTCATGCATGTCAAAACCTGTGGATGGGAATTCTGATTAACCTTAGCTTAAGGGACCATGATTGGTTAGTAAAAAGAATATTTACATCTGGACCTCTCCAAAAGCTGCAGAAGTTCTAACTATGAATTTGGGTTATCTCTGGTCACTGTTATTTCAGCATTCACTATTGCCTAGAATTGGTAGCAAAGTCCAAAAGAAAGATAAATTCATCACAGGGGATGGACAGCCAAGCTACTCAGGCTTTGCTTAGCATTGTCACTTTCCCAATTAATAAAGCCTGGCCAGGGACGGATGCAGTTGTTTAGATAGTGTTTACAGATAATTTCAAAGATTAAAAATAAAATTTAAAAAAAAAAATTCTTGAACATTTTAAAATAATGTTTTAAACATATTTTTCATCTATAAAATTGATAAATGCGTCAATAATCTTTTACATATTATAAATAATTATCTAAAAAAAAAATTTGAATTTGTCACTGAATATGACATAGGATGAATAATTTTGTTTCGATTCAGGATAGATAGAGCAGCTTTTAGGCATATTGGGGACAGATTGTCTTCCCTTGTTTATACTCCTCTCTGTCTACCTTGAACATAGTTTTTCTTGAACAAACCGGTGGTTTTTTCTTCTTTTTGTTTCTTTACCTTTAAAATGACAAGGAAAGTTGATTTTATGCCAAAAGCATGGTAAATCGTACTCAAATTTTAATGATGATTACATTATATATATCAGTGAACCTAGTAATGAGTAAAAAAGATATACCACTTGGACAGGCTTGTATACGGAAGCTAGATTTGATTGAAAAAAAAGGAATGAAGCATTAATTTTTTTAGGCGGTAAGTTCCCACAAAAATGGCAATGATAGTTGAATTAGAGCCTAACATGACTTGGACTGAACCAATGTGAGAGACTAGACAGACAGCTTGCAAATAATGGATGAACCATCTTTCAAAAAATAGGACAGAAGCCTCTAGCAAAATAAATAAATAAGGTCACAGCTTGAAAATAAAGGTAGGATTATAGGATATGAAATTTAAATTTTATATATCATTTTAAAAAAATAATTATATGAGTTAACTAAATTAATCTTTCAATTCGAAAAAATAACCTTTTAAGTTAAAACAAGATTGAATAAGAGTTTTATGCTTTGTATCTTAAAATGCCAACAAAAGATTTTAATCATTTAGAAGAGGGTCACTATGCATTAATTAACTTTTATGAGATAGGAGACAATATCAATGAGAAAACCTATCATATCCACTGTGGGTTCAATCTGTCTAATGTTTACGCTTTGATTCAGATTGAGCATCATCATTCTTCAACTCAGTAATTGAACTATAAGCTTCCCATGCCAAGTTGAAATAGTGAACAAAACAATTAATTATATTGTGTTTGGTAGGAAGGAAAGGGAGTGGAAAGGAAAATTAAGATGAAATAATGAATACAACAGTTAAACCTGCAGAACACCCCCCCCCCCCCCCCAACCTTCCTTTTCCTTTATTGCCATGCATGCATGTATAAATAAGCAGACAAATGTTTTAAGCATTCATTTATAAGCAAGGACAAAGAGGATTATACAAAGGTTTTCTTCTTCATCTGTATGGAATTAAGATGGAATTTACCTTGAGTTTGTTGTTGGATCCATGAAAAATAGTTGTACGTATAGCAACGGACAATGACAGTGCCTCATAAACAATTAACATTGATGCATGGCAGCACAAGGGGGGCATGAAATAGACATGGATGGAAGCTTTTAAGTACATGGTACACATAGATGCATGTGCTTATTGATTTCTCTTTTGGTAGGCATGTGGAACCAAATGATGACTCGAGTTCATATCGATAACGACTTAAGCTAATAATGAATGCATGACATCTCCACAACCATGTTATCATGAACAAAATTTAGGACTATGATATTAACAACAATTATTCATCTCTTCAATTAAATTCAACGATTTTTTGAACGAGTTTTCTGAATCATGAAGGAAAATTAAATTCGGGGTTAATCAAGATTGATGTTGCAGTGTTTCATGGACCCATGCACGTCATATGCATTTGCTCAACCTTAGTTAATTTTAGGCCCAGACAGAAGAGTACATCATATCAGTTATGGCTAACCCCATGTCCAATGCCAGTCTATACTCCTAATATATTGTGATAAAACTTGATGATCAAGAGGTCCCCTCTTCCCCTATGTATCAAAAATAGACATGACTACTAAGAATAGCTACGGTCCTACGGGGATGTCACAATTGTACTATTTGAGTATATGTAGAATATCTGCAATATGAATTCAATATGTTACATATCAACAATTTGAATTGGGCAGTCATGCTTTTTTTCAAGATGTTTTGATGCTTATTTTAAGCTCGCAGAAGTCAGTTGTGATGTGAGGCAAGAAATAGAAAATCAAGTTCAGTCTTTTTTTTTTTTTTTTAATATATACAAAGCAGGCCAGCAGTCTGGAGAGAGGGGAAAGGATTGTAGTAGGTGCAGGAATTTGAACCTTAGACCTGCACGTTAGATGTCATCTCTTAAAAGTGACTCCTATATGTTAGTTTTCATCTCTTAAAAGCGAATGCATGAATCAATTTAGTTAAGTTTTAAGTTCAGTTAAGTTCAGTTTTCGCAACAGAAAAATTTTGTGTTTTTCCTTGCCTTTGAAGTTTGATGATTGTTTAAAATTAATGTTTGCTGGTAGTTGATCAGTGAGTGAAGATCAAGCTGGCTAACAAATTGTGTGGTAAATATATTCAGGATCTCATCACTTAAGGCTATGCCTTAAATGCTTGAGGTAGTTGATCAGTAAGTGAAGAAAGAAGAAAATGAGGCTAAACATCGTGTGGTAAAATGTTCAGACATGAGGATCTTACATAAGGTTTATGTCCTTTTTGCATGTGGTCTGGTCACCAGCCAACATCAAAAGAAGCAGAAATTTCTGCACGAATGAGATGTGTGACATATTGCAGATGGAGAGCTAGTTCAACAGGGTGAGTAAAAGAAAATTTCTTCCCTGCAAACTCACAAAGTGGACCATGCATTTATGCATTAAGAAAAAGTGACAATCACCCAATAGATAAAACATAGTTGAATTGACTCAAAAGGAAATTGGGTCTCCCTACACAAAACTGAAACAATAGAAAGGGAGACTGAATTTTGATTATTTGAACCTCTATGAGAGTCCATCTTTGTACTGAAAACTCCCAAATGAAACTCAGATGCTGAATTTAGTAGTAGATTCCAGTCCATTTCTTTTGTTTTTCTTCTGATTTTTAAATAACCTAATGCTGCACATTATCATAATTGTTGTGATCAAACTATCTTAAAACTTAAACAAAAGAAAAGAAGAAGTGGATCTACCATCAAACCAAGGCTTAGAGAGAAGAGAAGAAATGGATCCCAAAGCAGACATGATGTTTCCTATCAGGTTTTTAAAAGTTGCCGACATCATGAAGCAAAGTAAGATCAATGTTAACTGGCACTTACACTGTCGGTGCCTGAATTAAACTAAAATCTGAAGTTTGACGGGATTTTTTTTTCTTTTGTTGGTTCTAGGCCTGCTCTTTGCCCTAGATTTTCTGGGGCAAAATAGTGAGTCACTTTCCTTCTGGCGCATCGGTATTCTCTCTACTCTTAGCCAAGAAAAATACTAGTAGTGGCTGAATATAGGCTTTTGTTTTATAATGCCAAACCATGTGACTCGTCAATATGCAGAGATTGATTGTACAAATATGGAAGCATATGACAGTTGCCAAACACATGCTAATCACATGCCTACAGAGAAATTGACCTCTAGGCCACCCACTTGCCGTAAAATTGTAGGCCAACAGAGAAGAGTGAGTGATCTTCCAAGATCCCTTTTTTTTTTTTTTTTTCCTAATAATACCATTACAGAAGTCATCCATTTGACTTATTTTCTGAAAAAGAGAATTTAGTGCAAAGTTTGTTAGTAAAATACTAAATTTTTAATTTTAGTTTCAAATACCAAAAAAGATTGAAAATAAAATTATTTTTCTGTCTGCATTCCAGAGTTTCAAAACCAAAATTGACTGGCCGTTCAACAAGTCAACTTGAAAATGAAGGACATTTTCCTGGTGAGGAATTTTGGAGACGGGCTTGAATCAAAGCTGAAAATGGTGCTGCACCAGTCGAAAGGCATCAGTCATGGCGGCTGATTATATATACTTTTTCCTTCCATTGTGCAGATGAAATGAGACACTCAACATCGAGCGTCTCAAAGCACCAAATTCAGTCGATTTTTGCAAGCTATCTCTCAGAGAATGGCTGATGATCATCCAGATGTAACATGTTCTTACTCGGCTAGATTTCGATATGTAATGTTCGAACAAGTACTGTTGTCATTAGATATGTAAAACCTTAAATGACAGTATACCAAAGAAAAGGAAAACGGTGGGGACTGAATATGGTTGGACTTGGAGCAAGGGACCAACATCATTTCAAAATCAAGAGTAACAAAGTATCAATTAACAGAGGGGTGTCCAAAGGCAAAAATTGCTGCGGGACAATATAGCATGAAGGCAGGTCTTTTTAAGTTTTACATTAATTTACCAATTCATTTTGAATGTAGGCTCCTTTTACATCAGTGATATGGTGATGGTTTCAGAAAGATAAAAGACCCAAAAAAAAAAAAAAAAATTCAGAGCAACAAAACTTGTAACTTCAATCATAAAGGCCCAGAGATCTGAGCATGAAGAGATCCAGTTGGCAAATCTTTACCAGAAATAAATGATGGAAAGACCAGCGGCTCATTTGAATTCACAAGGGGAAAAGGCACATATCATTGACCATAATAAGGAGGCTGACCCGGCACTGGTGCACCACCTGGTCTAACATTAACCCCTGGCTGCGGCATTCTCATGGAAGACACACCGGGTTGTGAATAGGGTGATGAACCAGCCGGTGTTGCAGCATTGACATATGTAGGAATTAAGGATGCTTGATATGTTTGACTAGGAAAAGTCCCAGGAACTGATCCATAAGGTGGTCTAGCCTGTAAATTTGGATCCCAAGCTGGAACTTGTCCAGCAGGGGGTTGAGCCTGCATTGCAGCTGAAGCTGCATTGTCAGTACCAGGGTACAATGGTGCACTCTGAGGATTGTGCCAAACATTTGGAGAGGCAGCCATACCAGGAACTTGTGTTGCAAGCAGACTTGGGTCTGAGATTGTGTAATCTCTACTTTTATCACTGTAAGCCTGTGGCAAAAGATGAAATAATCAGAGAATCACACTGCGTGTTTGTCAAGACAAATAATAGAAGTAATTTAGCAGGCAAGGGTGGTAATAAAGTGTCAAGAAGCATACATTTTAAGGACCAAATCTTTTTTCGATCAAGAACGGATCCCCTTATCTTCTAACCCCCTTATCTTCTAAGTACGTCTTTAATTTATTTTTCTTTATTTTTTTCTCATGAACATTAACTCAAAAGCACATAGTTATACCTTTACATTGAGATCAGTATGACGAGAGTATGATAGATGAAGCTTACAATAGCCACCATCATATATGCAGTGTCCCTCTAAGGATTCTTTGGCGACAGCTGCGGTTGTAACATCTGAACATAACAACTTCTACATCAGTAAAGTCTATCAAAATACATCTCTAACAAATTAGAACTTGAATTGCAAAAAAGTTAATTTTTCATGTTGTAAGATAGATGTCCAACAGTCCTCAACCTTGAGACTTTCAACTTGTGGGTCTCAAGATCAAATCTTTGGGAAGAGCAGGTGCAGAAAGAAACAAATATCCCACAATCCTCAGAAATGGAACAAATTTCAAATGAAAAGAAACAAAGCCAAGCCAAGAGCTTTGCATCAAATTTAAAATTCCACATATTATAGACACACACTTTCACATGAAAACAAGAAAAAGGAACAAATATTTGCATCAAATTTAAAATTCCACATAATATAGACACACACTTTCACATGAAAACAGGAAAAAGGAACAAATATTTGCATCAAATTTAAAATTCCACATTAAATTAGATCTGCTTTGCTTTTACTTGTGGTGGTCACTGCCACCAGGAACATCAAAGAACTCAACTTAGAGCAGCTTCTGTGTGTAGAAAACTTTACAAGACCACAGATAAAAGCAACTATATCTCCACAAACCGGTTTTTATTCATAAAGAACAAAATATATGTCATATTTCTTCAAATCAAAGAACAGTTTAAAAAAAATTTAAAATTGCATTCAACAAAACAATGGAGCACTTCAGTGAGGTAGATGCCTTCTGCATCTCTTGTCTATGGGAAAAAAGAGACAGGGCACCAAAAACTGTGCATCTTAACAAAGTCCCCTCCCTAAGAGGTCGCAAGGCACTTGCAATGTCTGGCCTTCCATTAGGGCCTAGGTCCTCCCTTGACAACGAAATAAAATTAATGAAAATATAACAAAGTACCCTATGGAGGTGAATTTCTAGAAGCAAGGAGAGAAATGACGAAAGAAAAGAACCAAACTAAATTCTCCAAGTCAATCCTTGCATGGAAGGATAAAGGGGTACCGATAGATAAGGGATGAATTACCAAAGACGTACTTAAAACAATTAAAAATCCATGAGATGAAAGCATACAAAGCATACCAGGATATTGAATTAGTGCCTGAGTTCCACCATTTTTCTCAAATATTGCAATCTTTTGGACTGTGCCAAATGCAGAGAATACCTACAATAATCAATAAGTATAACAACTTTCAAGCAATGAACTGGTATTTTTCATGTCAACGGAGTTGCAATACAATGTCTTACCGTGTAAAGAACATCAACTGTCACAGCATACTGCATATTTTCAATTGAAGCAAGTAGCACATTACTCTGAGGTTCTTGCTTTTTTCCATCTGGACCAACTACCGGCTGGAAATAACAGCATATTAGTGAACACCCAACAATAAAAACAGGTGAAATATTTGTAAATGAAAACGCTACCTGCATAAGTCCCTCCATCGCAGTAGGATTTACAGGAAGGTATGGATTGGTATAGTCCCTACAAAGTGTTAACATAATCATAATGTCTAATGTAAACATTACACAGAAGGTACACATGCATAGCCTAATGTCAAAATAGAAATTTGCATTTAGTCAAGATAAATAACTTATATGGGTAATAAAGTAATGATATTGCAAATGGATATACAAGATGACATAAAAGATTATGGGTTCAAATCCAAACCCATCATGTTTGACAGCAATAGCAGATTAAGCCATAAATGGGCATCCAGCTGGTTTCAATTATATAGAAAAGAGTATCTCAAATGCCTTCAAAGGTAGGCCAATCTAATACTTTTAACTTAATTACACCCAACTTTCTGAATGCTATGGTCTTGAATTTGGCCAATGCTTCCACGAAACAATTCCATAAATGTTCTAATAGAAGCAACCGACAATCACATTTTTTATGAAGTGCCACTCAAATGATAACAATGAGTATTAAATGGAGGAAAATTAGATCTATGAACACATTGCCTTTTCCACCACAATCAACTAGTTTCTCATGCCAATTTGCAATACGCTCACCCACTCTCGTTATACAAGATAAACGAATCTCATTGTAGAGAATTATTATGACTTCAAAATACTATGAAACGAATGACATTCTACAATGACTAGTTGCTTAGCTATAAAATAAATAATTTGCAAACATAAAACAGTCAGCAGAAGCATCTATTCCAAATACAATGTTTGCAATGAAAACACTAAACAAGCTTAGAAGCAATATTCAAACCTGAAATCAGATTAATATTACCCTACTAGCATGTTACAGGATACGCTCCAATGTTCCAGTCAATACTAAAAACTAATTTGTATGAATTCATTTGAATGCAGAAAAGGGGGAGGTCTCAACTCATGGTACCACCAAAGGCATCAAAGTGGCAATTCCACAATCAACATATAAAAAAATGCAATTATATTGAGATTTGCAAACGCATGGAACTATGGACCAAAGATTAAGAAAATTACTAAGAGGCCATAACAACACATCTGTGTGCTGACTACCAGGCTTCACTAACACCCTAAATAACAAAAAGCACACATCGATTAGCAACATATCAAATGCCAAAATAAATATTTAGCAGAAATATTACTTAAGCTTTTAGGAATGAACATGATCAAACATTGATGAACTTCAAAATAGAAAATAACTTTATATTTCAGGTTCAGTTTTACCTGCTCCGATGAGACTGAAACTTGATATTCAGATCAGTGTGTGCAGAATACGAGATTCGCAGGTGACAAGAAGTAACATGATCAGGAAGCAAGTACCTAAATTCAAATATCATGATAAAACATTACGACAATCAATATGAAAAATAGAAATAAGTGATGTGAGAGAGGTGAGGAAACCAAGTGTGCATGTGAATTTGGGACTAGAGAAAGTGCACATGTTAAAGGAGGACACAAGGGAGCAGTACATACCTTGGAATACTTCTCCCATCCAACGCATTCCTGGCTGAAGATGCAGTTTCAGCATCAGTGAATTGGATTAACGCCTGCCAACATTTTTCATAAAAATGAGCATGATATTGAACGACACACAATCTCCAAAGACCCAAATGCATTTTTGACATCTCACCTGGAATCCAGCGGCTTTTTCAAAAGTAGCAATTTTGTGCACAAAACCAAATGCAGAAAATACCTGAAACAACATTTAATCAGATGTGATTACAAATCACAAATACAGATAAAACAAACACTAGAAAACATCACAAACATTGGATGATAGAAACATCTTTCTTAGAAAATCCAAATGAATGAGAAATAAGAGCAGAATGACACCTGTAAATACATGCCTCAAGATAGAGCTTAGAAAGGAGTATGACGTACATGACAATATTTCCAAACTGTCTCAAACAAAAGAATCTAAATAAGATGCATAACCATCTTTGATTCAACTGATTTCAATCAAAATGTTGCTATCTCTTTATATGTAAAAGAACAAGAAAAGATAACAGTTTAATTCATTTCAGATCTATAAGAAGTGACCCTGTAATCTCTAACAGAAAACCATACTCCTTACAAAAACAGTTTAAGAACATCAAGTATCCCTCGCCAGACACATAACAAATGACACAAGGCTAGATAAAACTGACACTTTCACCATATGGTACCTTTAACTTCAGAGGTCTATACCTAATAAGCTCAATCATCTGTTGAATGGATGAGATTTCTTCAATTCTCTATATCATAGTTTGCAATTCCTTAAAAAGTATGCTCATTTACAGCAACAGTTAACAAGATTTTGACACGACTTAAAATAGGTCACTTTTAGAAGTAGAAATACAAGATACCTTCATTTAATCATACAAATATGCTCCTTATTCTGGAGCAAGAATCATCCAACACTTCAAGCTCCTTATACAAATATCAAAAGCCCCTAAGCATAGATAGGCTTTAACACTCTTACACTACCATTCTATAGCAGCAATGTTATAGAGAACCTGTAATAAATGATACCGTTTAATTAACAAAATGCATACACCAGCAATATGCACTTACCAAATGAATAGTCTCAATGGTCACGTCGTTAGCTTCCACACCCTCAATGGTGACCAGCAACACATTTCCTGGGGTATCTCCAGGACTCTTGTTGTTGACAATTTCATGTCTGTTTGAATATTGAATATAAACAGTTTTTCCACGAACCTGTGCTGGTTCTGACGATGAAGCATAGTATGAAACCATCGAAATAGCCTGATTTAAGTCTACCTGCAAATAAAAGTAACACCTTTTATTAAAAGAAAACTGTCACTGATCACCCTTTAGAAAACTATCTAAATTTCATCATTTGAAATTAACCCATCAAAATTTAAATAAAGAAAAGAGGAACAGGAGCAAAAAGTTCAGATTTTTACCATAAGCCCATGACTAATCATCTTTGACCAAACACAATAAACCATCAATCCAACACAAATCGAGAAATTCTAATTGGCAGTTAACACATCAAAGTTTACATTTGCAAAATGAGAACAAAAATTTTAAAAATCAGATTTTTAACAAAAGCACAAGACTAAATTAACCTTAACTTAACACAGTGAAACAAAGGCATTGCTTTCCCAAAAAAAATAAATAAATAATTTGCAATTCTGCATTGGCCTATCAAATTTACATTGCGAAATAACAAAAGCTGTAACAAAATCAGATTTTTACCATGTCAAACAAAGAAAACAAATCATCACCCCAGAAAACTCAGGATTTTCAAGCATCACTTCCCCCAAAAAATAAATAAATAATTTTCAATTCTGCAATTAGCCCATCAAATTTACACTTCAAAAAACCAAAAAAGCAAACCATCAGTAAGTAATTAACCTTAACCTAAAACAAAGTAACCTATAAATTATAAAATATAAAAAATATAAAAAAACCTGACGGATTTAGAAGCTTACGAATTCAACAAAAGCTTGGTTTCGATTGGCGCCGACATTGCACTTAGTGTTAACGATCTTCCCAAAGGGTTTACAAAGCTCGACGAGTTCCTCTTCCGTACACTCCCATGGGAGATTACGGAGATGGAGGACCTTCGATGGCGTCTGGGTATAACGGAACTGGGGTTGGCCCGACGTTGACATCAAGGGTTTCTGAAAGCAGAAGTGTTTGTTTGGATAGAAAATACGGGAATTTTCTTGGAAAATTTTATATTTTCGATGGAAAAGCCGATTTTCTAAGTTCGTAAGATTTGTTAGTTTTGTTAGATTGACGTGAATGTCACGGAATATTCGTCAGACTGGGAAGGGTATAACAAGAGGAGATGGTCCATTTACTAATTTGCCCTTGTTTAGGTTAGTGGAGTATTTATGATTATATTTTTAGACAAGGGTGTTATTGACAATTAATAAAAGTTGTATTAATCTTTTGCTATACTAAAACATAAATTTTTTATAATCTATAACTCTATATTAAAACTGTTCCCTTAAGGTGACAAGAAAACAGCTAAGCAATGTAAATCAAAACAACTGAGTTAAATTTAAAAAAAAATGGATGAAATTAAGGGTTAATTTTGAAAATAAGCTTTTAGATCCATAAGTTTTTTCAAAAACTTAAATTAGAAGCTTCTCTAAAAGCTTTCATTGAAGCATGCAGAGTAATAATATCTTTTTTCAATTTCACCTTTTCTAATTCGTCATTATTGATCTCTTTAATCTTTATTTAAGAGTAATAATTTTTTTATTCTTTTATTTTTTTTATTTTTTTCTTTTATTTTCCAAATTAAAACATAGTAATTCTTTTTTCTTTTTGTCTATTTTGTTTGTAAAGTTCTTTTGGTGTTGTTCTTTGGTGGTGGTGTTATTTGTTCTTTTTTTATCACACAACTCATTTTTATAAATTTTTACTTTTTTCGATCCCCTGTGCTTCTTCCTAACTGTAAGTTGTTTTTCTCTTTTTCCCTTTCTTTGTTTCTCTCAATTTAAAACCTTAAATTTTCAATTTTGCCTATTGACCTTTTTTATTTTATTTTCAAGATCCTCGATTTATTTTCTTCAATTTGAATTACAAAGTCGTGAATCATTGGGGGTCTTTTTTTTATTTTTGTTTGTTTGTTTTTCTTGATTTACTTTATTGCATGCGTGTTTTGTTTCTTGAATTAATTCAATTTGTTAGGTCATAATTGGATCCTTTTATTTTGTGCAAGTGATTATTACGTTTAAAATTTCTTTTGGCTTTTCTAGGGTTGACTAGATTGAATTTCTTTAACTTTTTGATTAGGTTGTTATGTTTATTTGAGGATTGCTTCATATTGGTATGGTAGTTTCTATTCTAGGTGTTCAATATAGGTTCTTTGTCTAGAATCATTCAATGTCCTCTAGTTACGATTACTGTTGTTGCCGTGGTTTCTATTTTTGTTGATTTTTCTATTAAACTTCCATCTTTTTCATTGTTATTTTTTTTTTGTTGTAGATTTGATTAGGTGGCTTTGATAGGTTGATCTGCCAAGCGGTTGAGATTTATTTTGGTGATTACTTTGCAAGAATATTGTGGTTATTGAAGAACTTATTAGAAAAATGGAGCTCTATATATCTTATATAAGTAAAATTTAATAGTGTTTATAGAATTTTGAAACAAATTTATTGAATTATTGGATATGATAGCAAAATAATGTTGCAAGTATTAGTAAGTGTGGAAAACTAATTCGTAACCAGATTTGATTAACCGTCATTCATTTAGTATTTTGGTTGTTTCCTAAATAAAATAGATTTGGTTCATTAAATTCCTACTTGGTAGTTTCCATTTATTGTTAAAGGATTTTTAGGTGATTTGTTATTATCTCTAGGATATCATGAGATTTGATATTTTAGTTATATATATATATATCATCTTGTACGCTTAAAAGTTTCTTAAGAATGCATAAATAAAATTCTTTTGAATTTTTTCATGGTATTACAACGTTTATCCTGAATCATCAAAACATATATATATATTTTCTTTCTATCTTTTTATTTACACTATGACCAACAGTACAAGTGTGTCCAAGTCCCCTATTTTGCCTATTATTGGTTACAAACTCAATAGATAAAACTTCGTCCAATGGTTTTAATCAGTGATGCTATTTGTCTATGGAAAAAGGTAAGAAAGATTATCTTATGAGAATGGTTATTTCACCCAATGAGGATGACCTAAAGTATCGAACCTCAAAGTTAGAGAATAGTATGGTAATATCGTGGTTGATCAATTCTACAACCAATAAGATTAGTGAGAATTTCATGTACTACAAAACTACTAAGGAGATTTAAGATGCTGCGAAAAAAACCTACTCCAACATAGACAATAAGCTTACAATATTCGAGATCCAAAGAACTTTACATGACTTGTAGCAAGGAATTTCTTTATCACGAAATATTTTAATTCCTTAACTTGTTATTGACAACAATTAGATATCTTTGTAGAAATAGCATGGAAGTACTCTAACAATAGCCAACAATATAAGAAAATAGTAAAGAATGACCAAGTTTATAAGTTTCTACTTGGTCTAAATAAGAGCCTTGATGATATTCGTGGGAGAATTCTTAGCATCAAGCCATTACCCATTATCCTAGAAGTTTTCTCTAAGGTCCTCCGAGAAAAGGGTAGAAGAAAAGTGATGCTAAGAACATCATACAATTCACAAGAGAAAAAATTCATCCCTTACTACATGATCACCAAAATCCTACCAAGATGTTGAAAATCGACAAAAGAAAGGTTACAAACCTTAATGCAACCATTGTCAGAAGGCAGGACACATATAAAAAAATTGTTGGCAAATTCATGGGAAACCTGCTTACCACAAACCTCGTTTTATTCAAAATCAAGAGAGTCATGAAATTCTACCACCATCGAGACAACTCCAACACCCACGAAATCAAGCCTATTCAATAAAGAGTAGTTGGAACTCCTTCAAAAAATTGTTTAACAATCTTTTCAAAACACTGGATTAGTTGTAAGCATAGTATTTGTTACATAAAAAAATAACTCTCTTAATACTCTACTTGTGCAAAGTAGAAAATCAAGATCTTGGATTGTTGATTCAGGCAAATCAGACTATATGACTAGTGATGCATCAGTGTTTCATGAATATGACCCATGTTTTGAAAATCTCATAGTTTGAATAGCAAATGGTCACTTTCCTGGGTTGCTAGAATAGGTTCAATCATTATTTTAAAAGACATAACACTTGACTCTGTTCTTCATTTCCCTAATTTAGATTACAATTTTTTGTTTATTAGTAAAATTACAAAAGATCTTAATTGTGTTATTAAATTTGTTTCTAACCTGTGTGAATTTCAGGGCTTGGATTCAATGAAGAAGATTGGTAATGCTAGGATGTGTATTAGACTTTACCATGTGTATTGGACTCTATCTCCTTAAAGATAAAAATTTTAAGAGACAATCATGGAAGAGTGTTTGTTTGATTTCATCTTCTAGTAAGAGTAAAGAAAATATAATCATGTTATGACACTATTATTTAGGACATCTAAAATTTTTGTACCTTAAAAATTATTCATTGATTTATTCAATAAAGGTTCTGAATCTTATCAATGTGAAATTTATCAATTTTTCAAACACATTTGTAATTCATATTCAAGTCAACCATACAAATCAACTTATCTTTTTTTTATGATCCATAGTGATATTTAGGAACCATCGAGGAATAATATTATAGGCGCTAGATGGTTTGTTACCTTAATTAATGATCATACAAAAGTTACATGGTTGTTCCTTATGAAAGATAAGTCAGAGGTTAGTTAAATATTTCAAAATTTCAACACGATAGTGCAAACTCAATTTTAAGTAAAAATTTAGGTGCTTAGAATAGATAATGGATGAGAATGCTATCACTCAGTTCTTGGATCTTACTTGTTAGATCAAGGAATTATTCATCAAAGCTCATGTACTAAAACTCTTCAATAAAATAGAGTTGTTGAGTGAAAGAATAGACATATAATAAAAATTATAAGATCTATTATGCTAGTTTTTCATGTCCTGAAACATTTCTGGGAAGAAACAATCCTGACAGCAATCTATCTTATCAATAGAATATCTTTTTTAGTACTAAAATTTCAAACCCCCTATCAAACACTTATCAAAACCTATCTTCATGTCCAAATCATTTCTTTCATACCAGTTAAATTGCTCGGATGTACTACCTTTATTTATATACACCAACAACAACACAGTAAAGTAGACCTTAAATCACTCAGGTGTATATTTCTTGGCTATTCACCTAACAAAAAAGGTTACAGATGTTATTCACTAACTATAAAAAAGTTTTACACTTCTATGGATGTCACATTCTTTGAGAATTAGCCATTCTATCCCCAAGCTGATATTCAAGGGGAGAGTTTTAGGGAATATCAACTTTGAAAGATTGAGTCATCATCTAATTCTTTCTTTACTTGTCTGACAATTCAAATTCTCATTTCAAATAATTTTTCTTCTTTTTTTGAGTCAACTAGTCGTTATGAGTCTCTAAAATCTCCTGAAATTGCACAAGAGACAAAAACTAAAGAAATTATTGTATACTTAAAGAGATCATAATCTTAAAAGGAGATAAGGACCTATGTATCTCCAACATAGAACCAAGATTTTGAACCAAATCTAGGGACTTTTAAAATTCATACAGATAACATAATTATTGAACTTATCTTTGATGATTTTTCTAGTAATCTTGATCAATCGATTGCTATAAAAAAATATGTGAGATCATGTACTTATAATCCTATTAGTAGCTTTGTTTCCTATGAAAGTTTGTTTTTTACTTACCGAGCCTTGATTACATTATTAACTGAAGTTCATATACTAAATACCATCCAAGAACTGCTTGAACAACTAAAGTGAAAGATTATGGTAATAGAAGAAATGCAAGCACTAAAAAAGAATGGCACATGAAAAAGTACTAATCTTCATAGAAGAAAAAGCCTAGTGGGATGTAAATGGATTTTTATTATCAAACACAATACAGACAAAAGTGTGAACATATTCAAAGCTTGTCTTGTGGCTAAAAGGTTCACTTAGTCTTATGAGATTGATTATAAGGAGACATTTGCTCATGTAGTAAAATTGAATTCTATATGTATGTTATTATCACTTGCTATAAATCTAGATTGACCTTTTCACCAACTCGATATTAAAATGTAACTCTAAATGGTGATCTAGTGAAAGACGTCTATATGAAAATTCTTCTAGGGTTTGAAAACTAGGACAACATGGGCAAGTTGTGTAATTTTTAAAAATCTTTATATGACCTTAAACAATCTCCTCATG